AACACATGATGATGGCTGTAGATTAAGGACAAGCTCGTTACTTTCGTGTGGGTACCTTCATCTGCTTAAAGCGTTGTCTTTATGAACAAAAAACACTTCTAAAACCGGTGTTTCGAAAAAACTGAGTTTATTTTCCTCATGAACGCGCTCTCAATTCATCTTAAAAACAAACTATCTCACATCGCACTGTGACCTCAATAGGGCACTGGTAAGCGCTGTTCGTGTGAGTGAGTTCTCTAATTTAGGCACGAGTTTGTATAAATTTGTTTTTGATTCTTACCAGAACTACTACTGATTTGTCATGCAAAACAGAGTGGATACTTGCTTTAGTATAAAAGATGATTAGAGATCGTGATACCATTGTAGCGATGGATGCATAACTCAATCGGTTTCACAGAGAACTGAAATATTTAAAACAACCACAACGATATCGTCAAAATGACTCTTTTGAAAGAGAGAAAGATGGGCAAAAATATATGCACATTCTAAACGACAAACTATACTCGACTTTACACTAAAATTTACAGTAAAATTATTATCTTTATACAATATTTTCAACTTTATATGCTCAACTATTTACAAGAAATATCCTTGGATCGAAATAGTAATTTTACAAATTAACTTTGTTCTTCATGATAAATATATCTCTCATAAAATCGCATAAATGCATTAAAATCTGTTAATAATTTACCATCAGAATCTGTTAATAATTGATCACCTACCATTGTTCCATGTTTTAAAAATGCTTCCCATTCTTTATCAAATATGGTTACAAAAAGTGGATCATCTAACTTCATAGATTTTGTTATTTCAAAATTGAATTTCATCCTTTTAATATCACTAAATTTAGCCAAATCATCTGTAACTGTTTCAATTAAACTGCGTGTAGCTTCCATTAATGTATCAATCACCAATCCGTTGAATAACCATCCTGTATATCCACCTTTATTTGATGATGAGATTGAAGAACTTGAGTAACCGGTACCTATACAAAGTAAATGATAATTGACCCTTTTCTTCCATTGCATTCTTACTGCCCATAAGGCTGATAATTCTGGATCATTGGCATACACACCACCATCAATAAATGTTTCATGAATATCATTTTCTTGAAATTCATCATTTTCCAATGTTTTCCATTTGCACATTTTATGTGGTGGAAAATAAGTTGGTGCAGCCATTGTAGCCTTTAACACATCTGCTACACGATATCCCCAATGATCAGAATAACTTGTATTGAATACTGTTATGGTATTTTTTGTCATATTGTAAGCATTTATAAGCAATACTTTTTCACGTTGTTTCATATTACCAAATTCATTGGTACAATGATCATGAAATTCTAATTCATTACCATGTGTTAAAGGAAATGGACTATTTTGCTTCATAGCATCATGTGGATTCAATAAATTATGTATATCAAGTAAAGTAGCAGTCTTAGCTGATAATTTTTTACCATTTATTTCGATTGAATTAATAATTTTATCAATTTTGTTGTGTATAAATTTTGGATTATATTTGGCACGCAGCCAAGGACCAGTCCAATTACGTTTGAAATAATTACGAGAATGTGAAAACATGTCTTCCAAATCTAATAAATTATAATTAATAGCTAAACAAAAAGCAATGAGTCCACCTGCACTAGTGCCAACAAAATAATCAAATTGACGGGTAAATTTTTCTTGAGCTTCTAAAAATGTCATTTCGTTGAGGTCAAGCTCTTTTAGAAATTTGGTTTTGATTGCATGATGAAGGATTTTAATGGGCATGTAACCACGCACACCTAAAAATAACAACAGAAATTCATAAAGCTACATAGCTGACAGTTGTTTTACTTCACTTACCACCACCATCTAGACTTAATATCCGTATATTTCTTGTAAATGCTTCTAAATGATAATTTGTAATCATTAAGCTCAATTGTTGTTTCAACGGTACATTCATTTCCGCTATTTTCATTCGCTGTTCTTCTGATACTGCATTCTTTTCCTCCATTTCCATTTGTCTCAGTTTAGCAATAACAACAAAAATATTAAAATCATTCTTGATCGTATTCTCTTCTATCATACGATTTAGTAGTTGTTCTTTTCCCTTTGTTATTTCTCCTGTTGGTGGAGCCTGATAGAATACCAATTTCATATATTCATCTCCTTTGTATTCCATATTTTGTGTTTCATGAAATCTTTTATGCCTCTCAGAGAGATCTTTAATCAGTGATATTTTCTGTTCTTTACATAAATCACATAGATCAAATTCTTTACATTTATCACATTGATACCAACTAGTTTTGCGTATGCTAACACCACAATTGTCACATCGACGATCTGTGGAAATACGACTGGTTGGATTGAAAATTGAAGTTAACGACATGCTGCTTAGTAGAATTATTGAGTAATTGGTTTATGATGTATTTATATTCTAGTTGGTCACGCACAATACATATATTCTAATTGCGTCAAGGTCAATCACATGTATATTTACCCATTTTCCGTCGTTGAGTCATTAATAATTTGTGTCATCAGAAATAGATACTATATTACTATGTGGACTCTGAGATTAGGAAAAGAAAGTAAAGAAACAGAAAGAAAAAGATATTAGTTTGTTTATTACGTAATTGTAATGGCACACGTCTGACTGCGTCAAACTCAATCGCTTGTTTATCATATTTCTATTTTTATTTTCGATTTAGTTATATCACAACCTACATCGAATTGATATGGAAAATGTATTACGTAATAAATTCCTAATCTGAGAGTAATATAGATGTTGCAGTCATGTGGCTACTCTACTTTGGCATCTCGGCTACAATCGTCATATTACTGAAACTGAACTTAAAACGTCAACAACTTGGATTGATTATGTTCACGACAGTCAGAAATACTCAGACTATGATACAGGTTCAGACAAATCAGACTCACGATATGATTTGCACAGTGAAAGTGACACTGATCATTCACACATGTAATCTTCGTCTATGCTTCTTAATGTAAACGTAGGAAGAAATAAATAATTTCAACTTATTCTAACGTCAAATCAGCTGTTAAAAAGTTAAAAAAAGAATAAACGAAACTTTAACAACGTATAAAACACGTGCCTTACATATCTTTCGCAAACGTTATTACCGCAGAACATGTGTACACGTCCTTTTCGGTTCAAGCGACAAAGTATTAAATTTATAAAACATGCTGTCCCACTTCGTTAAGTTTCTTATTAACATATATTGTAGAGGTTTTCATGGCGCATCGAATAATATATTGCGCTAGGCTTAATATAGGATGGTTACTGAGAAATGTTGATTTTACACTCACACTGTTGATGCTAAATCATTGCTCGTTTTCGAGTAGATTCTGTTGGGTATATTCGACTGAAAGCGCCCAGACGGGTCTAAATCATCGAATATGATAATCGGATGTGATTCTAATGAGGTGTAGACTAATTGGAGCGGTTATTGTTAGTGGGCCGATTGTCGTTCTTATGCGGACTTCACCTTTAAAATTGTCTTGTCTTCCTGACTCGTTTAGTCATGCCGAGTGCTTTTAAATTAACAAAGTCCTTTTTGATTAGTTTAGAAAACTCAACTGAATACTGTCGATGATTAATATCACGCAAAAATAGAAATCGAACATTTATCCAATCATAACACATCGTTTGTGTCAGATAATGTTGTTTATAATTCAAAAATGTGTTCGGCACACACACAAGCGTTTCATATTTAAAAGAGGCTCCACCAGCCCATCAAGCACCTGCTCAAAGGGTCATAACAAGTTGAAATTTCCTTTTCTCTAAAGGTGTTTTCATTCGATTCCCCATACCGAATGACGTGTGAATCCCAATTTTGA